GTATTGGTAGTATCCTTAGAACACTATATTTCATTATCTACAGGAGGTTCCTGTATTTTGTTTTGACCTGTACTGGTCATGTAAGATAGATTTACAGTATTTGTTCTAGACCTGCCTTTGGCCAATTTAGTATTTATATACTTGTAATGTATTTATATACTTGTAATGTATATAGATATATAACGCCAAACACTATCCATAAAACCATTAACTGTTCAATACCTTAAGCCTTTTAAAGAAAAATTTCATTTTATTTCAAATTTATTACGCCAGAAATGAACCCACCTGGATAAACCCACCTTTATCTAACTTTAAGATCCGCTCCCTGCTTTTTGGGAAAGTCTGGTCCACGTCGTTAAACTGCTTGACTATAACTTCCGTTTTTGTTCTTAGTTGTTTCAAGTTTTTTGTTTGTGTCGTACCTGTCGTGTGCTCGCCCTGCATGTTCGTAGTTTTGTCTTGGGTATTTTTGTTTCCTTTTATTCAATTCAATTTTGTATAAATTTTAATGTGTATATTATGTCTACTCATGAATAATGAATAAAAGTGATGATCATAATTATTATTATTATAGTATTACAGTACTATTATTATCTATAGAAAAGTGATCAAATTATCCCCACCACCACATCACTATTTTCATAATTATTTTTATTAAAAGGTAAAAAGAACTGATTATGTCTATTGCCTTGTTGTCATTTGGCATGAGAAAAATTCAAGCTAATACGGGTATTGTGTGGAAAGTTAAATTAATAACATATTTGGACAAAATGGGAACATAGTTGATAATACTTTCAAGTGCAAAGTAAATTGCCTTTCCGCCAAGCCTCACCACTTGGATATTGCTGCTAAAGAGTGGGACCCAACAACAGCGAACGTACTTACGTCAACTTGTGTGTTTTGAGACATGCGAGTATTCCTGGCTATTAAATAACACCTTCTGATTGGTCAGTCAAATTAGACTGACACTATGAAAGTATTATTTGCTGACCATCGAATGGACCTTTCCGATTGGTCAGTTTTTAAGTTGAGTACAATAACTAAAATAAAAACCTTACTCTGAAGTGGGTTAGGGTGATAACCGTATTTTTAAAAGGACTAACATAGATTCCCTATATAACCATCTTCAACAAGATGGTTACATAGTTAGTTGTACTTCGTATGTTGTGTTTTTTGTTGTTGCTTTCTGTCCTCTTTTTTTATTTGGGTTTTTTTGTCCCGTACCGTCTTTTTTCTTAATTTTCTCGTCTGTATACTGGCCCATCACAATATTTCTCGGTCAATTGCCTTCTGCCTTTGCATTATATTATTTTATTTACTTAAGAAAAACTTATTAATTTTTTGCATATATTGTATAAGAATTAAGTTTAATTCAAAGGAAGTTAGAGTTTTACATTGGTGCCATGTATATAATGTGCTAAAATTGACTAATGTTAGTACATACACACTTACATAATTTACCTTAAGAGTTTTGAACAGTAATAAGCTTTGCATCTTACAGTCATTGACATTTTTATTTCCTTTTAAGTTTCACCTTGAAATTACCGAAATTGAATTGAACACATACAATTTTAATACAGTGTTGCTTCAAAAAAGCAACTTGACTAAAATGGTAATTCAAGAAAGCACTCATGTATTAGCCAACTGGCGCCAAGCTCTTGAGGAGTAATTTCATCTTACGATAAAATGTTACACGGGAACGCACGCTAATAATGTTACAAAATCTTTGCAAGGTATTTCTACTAGAATACGTCCAGTGGCGTATTCAGAAGTCTTGAAATGTGGGGGAGCTAAAGTGAAGTGAGAGGGAGGAGGGCCCTCGATGATTAAGTGAGAATGATTTTTTTTTTTCAATAGTTCCTCCCACCTTGCTTATATCGTATTTGTTTATTGTTTTGTTTGTTTTATTTTTCTACTGCTTTATTGCATTAGTTAAGTTAGCACACTTTGCTTGGGTTTGGTTCTCAGCAAGCTTTACCCGGGGGGGGGGGAGAATGTTTTTGACTTATTGTAGAGTCACTTACAGCACTTCGTAACTGAAAAGAAATGCGCTATACAAGTAACAAGTAACTACAACTGATACACTGACAGTGAAGATACATGTAATGACACAAGACTGGTTCCCCCCTGTTAGAATGTATTTAAATCCTTGCTAAAAATAAATATCATGGAAGTGTTGCAAGAGACCGGACTACGCCGGATTTTTCCATACAAGTAAATTCTATGTCACAAAAATGGTTTCTTTGGTTAGAATCCACGGTTTTCAGGTAATTTTTTCACACCACATACTTGTTTTTTCCTTTTTCTCTTTAGCACCTTCAGGTAGACAAGGTAAAGAAAAGCCAGAGCTCGGAACTCTGAGCTCAAAGTGTCTATTCCTTAGGGTTTGGGCAAAACTGTGCACGGCTGTGCTTTACAAAATTCAATTCTATACATTATTATTATTATTCTTACAGGAGCGGATCCAGCAGGGGGTCATGAGGGCCTGTGCCCCCCGCCCCCCGTCGGTCAAGCCGAAAAATGAAGAAGAGGGAGAAAAAAAGAGAGGAAAGGGGAAAAAAGGGAGTGCACCCATGAGTTCAGTGACGATCCAGCAGTGGGAGAAAGGAGAGCTCGATTGTTTACCACTTATTTACACCAACCATGGTGGGGCGGAGGTGGGCATGGCGACGTTGACTTCATATTGTGCTCGTCCCCATCATAAAATCTCTGGATCCACCCCGTCTTATAACCAAGACTAACAGACGGAAAAAATTAACATTTACAAACATTTTATTATTGATCACTTTATTATTAACAGTTTTCTTTATCATTTTACAGTGACATTTATCAGGTTTTTTTTGTATGGTTTAATTATATTTTGAATACTTAAGCATCATACAATGTGCAAACCCATGTACATGTGTTTAGAAAAAAAATAAACTTGAATTCTAAAGGAAACATAATGTACATATTAATGGTGTATAGCGTCATCAATACCTAGAGAGAATAATTATTGCATTCAATATAACTTGTATCTATATGTTGAGTTGTTCGTAACGGTCGAGGGAAAGCGAGGGGATGTCACCTCCTCAATCCGCTCGCTAATTTCTTTGCTTGCCAGGTGTTAAACTTGCTGAATGCCCTTTCCAATAGGGCATCTATATGTAAGGTAAGCTGTAAAGGATTGAAAAAAAGAGATAATTAGAATAACAGACTTAAGGCAAGGTTGATAATAATAGTTTCACACCTATACTTTTCATTTAAAAAAAAACCCCTTTTATTTGCGTTCATTTTTTTAGATCAAGTTGTCAATATGCTGGCGAAACCGATTCAGATCCGCAAAAGCTTAAGTAAACAAGCACAAGCTTTGGCCAATTTGCCACTATAGAAGGTAATCCATCTTGCAGTGGCAGGGGTGGATTTAGGAAGGGGCATGTGTCTTTTTTTTAGGCGAGACTTTTTTATACCTTGTTTCAAGCTTATTTTTTTTAAAGATTGTCAGAGAGGGGGGGGGGCAGGAAAAAAAAATTTTGTTTTTTTACTTAGAAAATGGTTTTGCCATGAACATCCTGACGGAGGAGAAAATAAAAATTAAATGTTATTGGTGAATGTAAACAGTGTAGTAATGGAATGGTTAAATGATTTAAATTTATATAATTAGTAAGAAATACACATATCTTATTTATAAATATTTCAGGGCAGCGGCACGCATAACAAAAATTAAAAAAAAACTTTTCTGAAATTTTGTGGCGACGGCCTATATGAAATTGGTGCTCCATCGGTTCAAAAATTTTGGATCCACCCTTAATAGGAGGTGGTCTTTCTCCCTACATCAATATACACAATTTTTCATAACTATTTGCACAATACCGAAACTCTTTGAATTTCCTTAAATTTTTTTATTTCACTCAATGATGATTAATGGAATGTTAGATTTTCCATCAGAATGCAATTACTGGAGGAAAACGTACAACTATCAAAAGGTCTTACATTTGCTCCAATATGTTGTCTTGCCAAATCAGATTTAAATGGATTCAGCTTTTTCTCTTGAAATTGTTCTAGATTTGCTTTCATACGACACAACTTGTCCTCTAATGACCTATTTGTGACTGGAAAACAAGCCCAAAAATGGCGTAGTAGCTCAGAGAGGGCGGTATATAAGCGTTTCATTTCCCGTTGAACATCCTGGCTATAAAGGGCTGATGACAGAATCAAAATATGCTTTTTTAATAATACAGTATTCATATATTTTTTTCACATGCTTGCAATATATTATCTTAATTTGCATAATCAATGTATTAATGAGATGCCCTCTAACCTAAGAAGAGTAAAGCTGCCAACTCAACATTATTTCAATTCAGAACTCAGAAAAACAGCAAAGAAATTATAATCTACAAGACTAAAAGAAGATGGCTACATACAGTGTAATGGTTTCTGACTGCTAGAAGCCATCAAGAGCCCTCCTGGTGTCAGTTCACTCATCACTGAACTTGTTAAACGGTTCGGTACAACCTACATAAAAAAATACATTAAATTATCACAGATAAGCAATAATTTCAGTTTTGTGGAAATATAAAATTTATGTTATTTATACACTCCCCCAGTGAGAGCCAATTTGCAGCAATCTGGTTTACTTTTTTTCGTTATCCCATCAGATAGGAGTAGAATCATTTCTTGTCAACTTGCTAGCAGCTGTGCTTGATGTATTTTATCATATGTCTGTCTAATGTATGCGCTGTATATGACAATAAATAAAATGCAATAAGATGAATAAAAATAATGTAAATATATTGTTAGATTTTATTCCTTAAATTTTAAATATATATATATATATATATATATCTGTCTCTTATACACATCTAGATGTGTATAAGAGACAGGTTATTTACTGCTGATATCATAAATCTGTTATTGTTGTAAAATAAACAGAACATTTCTAATAGAAGTGGTTTAGCACAGCGAGAACAGTTTGATTTTCCAACCTTGAAGTTGGGGGGTTCAATCCCTCTCAGTGCATTTCACTTGAGTCCTTAAGCAAAGGCACTTTATCTGCATTGCTTCTGTCTACGCAGGAGTATAAATGGGTAACTGGTAGGGTTGGAATGCCAAATGCGCTAATTAGCTGCTGCTTACACTAGTTATGAAAAACGTGAATGAAACATGTTGTTAAAAGAAACATACTCTGTGACACTTAGTACCCTGGTATTGTGGTGATTAAATCTCTTGATTAATGCTGCATCTACGGATGTACTTGACGAGGTTTGTTTGTCAGCTGAATGTCCATAGCCCTGTGATGATAATGCAAACCAAAGGTTATTACCACAATATGTGATAGAATAGTAACTTTAAACTAATTTGCCTCTTAAATACTGTACTCTTCCCAAAATACTACAATTTTAGTAGAGAGTGGAGGTTAATAGATGCTTGCCTTCTAATCCCAGGGACATGGGTTCAATTCCTGTCATAACAGGAACTTTATTGCACCACTGAAAACAACTCCAATGGGCCCCAATGGAAACGAAATCTCCCAAAGTATCATAAAGAGGCTTTGCTGATAAAATCATTGAAAGTGGTGGATCAATGATTAAGTGAGGGGCACTAGGTTGCAAAAATAAAGTGGTATTTGTACCAGTTTAGGACCAGTGTCTGTGCTGGTTCCACTCTGCCTGATATGTCAATTAATTTTTATTTTGTTTCTGTATTATAAGGCATAGAAATTGAATAAAGAAAGAAAAAAGAAAGACCAAGCTGCAGATTACAATGGTATTTATAATTTTAACCATCTTTAAAACATTAAATTGAACTTGGAATGCATTAATATTGTACTGTAAGGTAAAGCATCTTATCTAACATTTTACTTTTACATTTTTCTATGTTTTACTTACTGGAGCAAATGAACTGTCTTCCATACGTTCTATGTTCAGTAGTGGGTCATTTATTTGATGCTCTTTATCATGTTTCATCTCTGTAATTAAATTGAAAAAAAGTTAAGAATTCTAAATGAAAACTTAATGACCATTTTTAGTATTTTAATCCACTTATCTGCCATGGGGAGGGGGGATCACACCCACTGCACCCCACCCGCCTATGCCCATGATTAAAGATAATAAATTTAAGTTACCTTGCTCGTCACTCTTTGCACATTCTGAAAATAAGTCTTTGCTACCCGTATTGATCCGATCCCGATGGAAATAATGTGACTGGAAGAACCGCTTCCAGAATTCCATTTCGCTGATCTCACCAGGAACCTTTTCCATGTGCGTTTTCTTTACTATGGTTTTAATTGAGGAATATTATATTATATAATAACAATAATATAATGATGTAAACATTATTATTTTACAACTCAAATCAGGCATTCAACTAATCATCATAAAGTTTATAAGATAGAAGCTGAGACTTCCAATCAATGTTCCTGTACTCAACCAAGATATTTGATTGCATATATATCTCCAACTGGCATTGTGGGCCTCAAAAAGCTGAATGCTATAACAATTGTTTGACTATCTAGTCTAACCCAAAACAAATTCTGTGGCTTCTGCAGATTTTTCCACATAATGAACAAACAAGACTAATGAAAGCACTAAATGTAAATCATCAAGAGAAAGGAAGAGCTTGATTAAAACAGTAAAAAAACCCATACAAACTATGTAAAGATTACACCAAAAATGAAAATTTACTCTATTTTGTTGGTGTTAGTTGGCTAATCAACTAGCACAATGTTGTAAACCTGATTTGAAATTTAGGACAAAACCATTTAAAGCCCTGTACAGACTATCAAAAACATGTGACATGCCTAAATATGGTCATGATGACATCACATCATGACCATATATAGGCATATCATGACTATATATAGTCAGTTTTTTTGTCAAACAAAATTTCATAATTTGGACAGAACTTAACAAAAGAGCAAAAAATGTGTATTTTATGTCAAAGAAAACTATATCAATTTTATGAATAAGAAAGTTAGGTGAAAATCACTCAATTAACAATAATTCTGACATCAACTTACCTGCTGGATAAGTTTTGAATATAGCTTGAATGTCGTCAACAGTAAGATTGTACTTAACACCATTACAGCCATCTGACTGCGGCTTGATATCAGCTAAGAACGCTGCGGATACACCAACTTGCTGGTTATTTTTCATCCCAACGACCTGACATAAATTACATAATAATTTTATTGTATTATATCATAACACATAACTCTTTAAATGTATTGCACTACACTCATGTGTTGTAAAAATCATGGAAACCATTTAAAAATTCAATTAAAACACTGAATTAACTTCTAATAAGATGTAAACCGAAACAGATCAAAGACAGTTTCACTGATTACAGAGTTTAATAAATAAATAAAAAAATCATTAAATATATTAGTGTACTAGCCAATTTAAAGGCATACACAAAGAATACGGGAATGGTATTACATACATATTTTATACAATTCATTTGTATAATTCTTCAAATATACAAAGACATAACATTTTCAATGCCAGTAGCAAAAACCTCACCTCTTTACGTGATGACCAGAATTCTTCAGCAGTAATTACACCACTTACTACTAAATCTTTGTACAGATGATACAATTTTGGATCTTCCTTGAGCATTCTGTGACAAAGGTGAAATATATGAAAGACAATCACTAATTGATTGGCATGACACTATTTAGCGTAAAACAACATCACTTTAACATACAGGTTGAGTGATATAAGAGGCGGAAGTTACTTTATTAAACAGAGCTATAAATATTGCATTAAGAAAGATTAAAGAATATAAACTTTTTGCACCATTTATAAAAAATCAGCATAGATAGAACTGACCAGAAGGCTTTAAAATTAGGGAAAATTATATTATAATGGTGTGATGATTGTGGCAAATTAATTATGGTGTGAAGTTGATGATGGTGGTGCGATGACAGTGGCTTATTAGTGGTTGAGATGACAGTGTTGTGAAGTTGATATTTTGATGGTGGCATTTTTAAGGTGGTGTCTTGATGGTGGCATTTTTAAGGTGCTGTTTTGATGGTGGCATTTTGAGGCGGTGATGACGGTAACGTGATTGATAATGGTGTGATAATGGTGACGTGATAACACGATAATGAAAAAAGGGAAAAAACAAACCTATTTTTCTCTTCCAGTTCCTTATTAGTTTTGTTTTTAAACTTTGGTAGAAGTTGCTGAAGTAATTCTTTAACTGAGTTACGATCTTGTAACTGTGCACTTTGACCTTCTTGATTGTTGAAAAGGAATGTGGCTGCCTTGTCATCATGCAGTACAATTTGTAACTGTATCTTAGGCTTGCCTTCTGGACTAATTTTTTGTTCTGTGAAATATAAAATTTAGTAAATGATTAAGAAAAACAAAACTTCATACTACAGTAGTACAGAGAAATCTAAAATCACAATGTAATAAGGCAAAAGGAGGTGAGGTTTAAATGCATGGCCATTTTAAACACATAATCATTTTATGATTAATACAGTATGCATTACAGTGTTTTCCCAATACAAGTGGTGCTACATAAGATCTATTCAAACACCACTTGTAGTGATCAGGTTCATTACACAGGCTTTCCGCAGCAGTCTTGTTATATGTCCATCTATCACAATGGTGATGAGATATTTTAAAAATAATTTTATTATCAATTATTATCATCATTATTATAATTAATGTATAATATATTTATATAGTACAAAATTTTAATGTTTATATTTATTCTATTGCTAATTTTAATTGTGTTTGTAAATTATTGGTGACCAACTTGACAAGAGATCTTGAATCTCTTTTTGGCAAGCCAGTCTCAATTTACTTTATTTTATTTGTGTATTTGTTGACATTTGATGAGATGATTAAATGAAATAAAATGAGAATTTTCTAACCACATTAGCAAGTGAATTGATTATTATTACGGCAACTGATGTTTACCTATTGTAGATTGCTCCCTTGGAAATGCATGAAGAAACAAGCACATTAGGTTTATGATGAAGAAGCACGTTTTCAGAATAGTTTAGTAGTCTGGAACATAATGCATCCAGAGCATAAAAAGGCTTTGCTTTTACACACAGGTTGCAAAGATTTATTTGATGAAAGCGAGACACGTATTTTGCCGGGCGAATATCATGTTGATGTTAATAAAAAGCAAATTATGGCATTAGAAAATTATTTTCTTTCAAAAAAGAATACAGAGAATGAGACTTTTGAGTTTAGAAATACAATAACAGATTGTAACCCGTGTATGCCATTTGATTAGTAATTGAGGTATTGATAGTGAGGATGAAATGGATGCCAATATAAAACACCAAATTATTCAAGGCAGCAGAAAAAGAAGGCAATAATAAGTTTGATTTCCTGCAATGGATAAACTTGTCGAAAATGCAGTGTCCCCTTGTTATTTTTATAAAGTTAAAAATCCTTCAAAACCAACAAAACTACCATCCCGTGTTTGGTCATATCTTGCAAAATATATGTACGATCCATTACCACCAGATGAATATGTCGTAATTGACGAATATTCCCAATATCCAGAGTTAGATATAACAAGTTCGATTAATTCTGCCCCTGTAATCCCAAAGTTAGATTGCAATTTATAGCTTTTAGATAGCCAGATAATTTATAGAGATATAATGGCCCACCTTATAATTCCCATGAATTTAAAATGTACACGAATGATTGTGGGGATAGACACCTCATCCCCCTACGGGTAGAAGTCCTGCTGAACTAATTTTCGAGTGACAAATTAAAACTAAACTACATTCAATCATGTTAAGAACGATACTTCAACTACAGTACTGTTGATAACAACATAGATTGATTGTACTGTAATTGATTTGTTCAGGTATACAAAAAAATGAAATATTTTATTGTTAACTATTTGTTTTGTTTTTTAAAATTTATATTTGGTATTTTCTTTTGGCAAAGGCATGTGCAATAATTGTTAATACTCTTCATTTTTCTTTGTATCTTATATTTCTTTTTTTTTTTTCCTTATCTTGTCTGTCTTTTCAAGTCTGTAAGTGGAGATAAATTTTATTTGCTGTTGGTTTTCATTTTAAGTAAATAAATAAAACAGTAAACTATTTATGAAGACACAGATGAAAAAAAAACTGCATTCACTGATAATATATTTAAGGAAGAATGACGTTATTGATCAGTGTTATGAATATGTAAATATTACACACAGGTGGTCATGAAAAATTAAATAAAAGGCTGCATGCTTTCCGCTGCTACATAGTACAATATAAGTCAGTAGTTGTAGCAGTTTTTGTTATACGTCCATCTACTACATTGCTCATATTTCTGCACCATCGGCAACCTAGATCCCCAACAAAATGAAGAACTGGAGCACAACTTGTTTGCTCCTTTGGGGAGGTTGGGGGAAATACCCGAGAGGCTCAATTACATTATTCCACAAATACTACATTTTCAGCAACTGTTTGAAAGGAATACATACGTCGTATATCTGCATAGAGGTAGCTTATAGCAAAATGGTCGGCATGTTCTCCCTGCCATGCTAGTCTTTCTGCCATCAAGTAAAGACTTCCGTCTGTCTTCTTGTGCTTCACTTGACTGACAATCAGCAGTACATCTTCTGAGGATGCCATCCTGAATTCTGTAACAAAAAAAAGGATTTTTTTTTTAAATCTTTGATTAACCATACCATTTTCAATGTTCAATAGAAATAAGCTGCAAACAGAAATTCCATAAAGGCATTTGTTTGTACAAATTAAAGGGCATAAGCTGAATTGGATAATAATTATGCAAAGGAATCAATTTTATCTGTCAACTGTTTATATTGATCTCATCTTTTCATTTACTTTACTTAACTTGAATTCTCAAGTAAAATTCTATTTTATTTATTTTACAATTGCATATTTATATAATATCATGCTTCTTTATCTAGGAAGGCCTATATAACTTGAATTGTTCAATCCAATCCAATCCAAACTTCGAGTTTATATAAGTCGCATTATACAAAGTATATTTATTGTTCACTGTCCGAATTTGTAAATAATTACGGTCAAGAAAACTTTGCTGGTAAACCAATGTAGCGAACAAGTAAGTTGGAATGCAAAGTATGAAACACATATTGTATTATGTTTTCAGTCAATTTGATGATTGATTGACTAATAAATATCCTAATACTGATAATTATAATATAATAAATATGCGTAGACTTAAAAAAAAAAAAGTTATAAGACTGTGGGAGATGCAGAAAAACATGTTTTATTTTAATATGTAAATTCCACAAGGGAAGCCTAGGCATAACCATGTTCTATTTTCTCTATGGCATAACATACACAAAACGAGCGTAATTCATCAGGCCAGATACACTATTCTCAATGACTCATCATGGAAGATCCACCAGAGGGCACAGATTCAAGATATTCAAGAAAATGCTCATCAAAGGACTGAACCTCAGAAAGTACTTCTTCACTCAACGTGTTGTAAAGACATGGAACGAGCTCCCTGAAGAGGTAGTAAACGCCAAGACAACAAACTAATTCAAAGGCAGACTAGACAATCATTGGAAAGAAAATGGATATGGGGTCTTAAAAAGCTTCAACCTGTAAATTAAATCCAATCAATCAAAGTGTAAGCATAGAAAAAATAAAACAGTGTAAGTGTAACATTCTCAATGGTAACTGGTATCTCATAAGCCTATCTATTTGTAAAGTAGGCCTAGGCCTAGTGTTATTAGGCCTAGGCCTACTCTACATTTTAACAAGAGGCAAACAAAAGTTAAAAACACACTTAATTTACTGATTTTCTGAATGTTAGTTACATCGTGGCCGAAATGGTTCGAGGCCGATGGCATTCGGTAAACCTACCTGTAGGCCTACGTCTAGTGTAGTCCTCTGTATTGATTTTTGCCTAGGCCTAGGCTAGGCGATGGGTCGGCCAGAACAACTAGGCTACAGTGTTTGGACAAGGAGGAAGAAACTGCTGTGAAAAAGTGCCAAAGCTCTGCTGTCTGTGTGGATTTGGAGAGGATGAGTTGCCGAGTCAACCTTTCTTTGGACTTAGAAAAGGACGGAATCTTCAGCTCATATGTTGCTTAACAGACACACAGTTTAATAAAGAACTTAAAATATCTCTATTCTATCATTACATACCAAATGCAAGCAAAGAATGTTGCTTTTGCAAACGTCTTCCTGGCTAGAGGTAAGACCGTCGTCACAGTCCAATGAGGGCTGACATGTTTTTTTTTAGTATTGTTAGTCTATTCGTGCCAGTCGGAAAATTGTCTTAAATCACAGTATGGTATAAAAAGGCTAAATTAGTATTTGTGATGGATGCTGGGAATGAATATCCTCTTACGAAAACATTTCTGGCAAACGCAAAAGATTGCTTTGAAATACAATTTTAATTCATCAAAAACAAATTTTTTGTAAAAGATGTAATAAAAAAATGCTCATTTATATTATTTTTTATTTTATGTAATAATCAGTAACGATGTACATTCTTGTTTGACAAAAGCGCTTTCGATATTTTTCATATTGTGCGTAGTTGTTGCTATAGTGATTATCATCAATAAACCTGAGAACTAGGACTTACTTGCAGCTGGGGAAGGTGGCGGAGGAGAATAACACTGTATAACAACGCTAGTCGTAAGTAAGAAACCAAAAGTACACATTCGAAAAGATTTAGTACATCCTTTAAAGCAGAATGTCTACCACAACTCTCCCTTCTCTTGAAGGTAAGTACAGTATTTGCTCCTTATTTTGATTGAGTTGAGTAGGCTAAACATAGATAGGCCCTAAAAAATATAATATCTGTAGGTCAAAGACATAGTCTTACACATGATATACCTTGACTTGGCTAGGCAAATTTGCTATTAGGAACAGTAAAATAAATTAAAAATTGATCAATGAAATGTTTTTTGAACATTTATTGTCCTATCATTTTTTAATCACACCCTGTCAAGGTTTTTTCTTTTATAAATATTTTAATTTTATAAATATTAAATTATTAATCTTAATGGCTTATATTTGGTCTGACTACTACCACCCATAGAGAGTATATCCGCTAATAATAAAATGATGTAGAAAATAAGATTTTTTAACCAAAATGTATCTATTTTTATTGAAATGAAATAGCTCTTCTGGGAAGAGAAAAGAAAAGTGATGTATCATTTGGAACTGCACAAGAAAGACCACTTTTTCCAGGAAAATTGCCTCCAAATCGTATGGGAGTTGGGTTAGGATTGGAAGGAGCACCTCACAGGGCTCCAGGCAGCTATGACAATGCAGAGGTAATTTTATTAAATAAATATAAAACAATTAAGGAAAATCTAAATAAAAAAACCCTACTAATTTAAGAAAAGTTAAAATTATGTACACTCTTTAAAAATCATCAACTAAGTGCTGCTTAATGTTAGTGATGAATTTGATCTACTTGAAATATTTTTGATTCATATATATATATATATATATATATATATACATATAATATAAATCAAGGAAGCCATTAACACTGTTAAATCATATATAAATCATCAAATTTACCTTCTTTGATGATTTATATATATATACATATATATATATATATATACATATATATATATAGGAGCTTAGAAGTATCCATAGGGGGAAACTAAAACAATAAAGTGGTTAAAAACAGTACCATAAGGCGAAAGTAGTGTCGCTAAGGGGAAACTAAAGCGACGTTAAGGCGAAATCATAGACAAAAGAATTTCCCCTTAAGAGCCGAATAAAGGTAGTATATATATATATATACACATCTAGATGTGTATAAGAGACAGCTATATACAGGATGCACTTGTAGTGATTTTAAAGATTCAATAAAAAGTTGATGGATGGCTTTCTTGGCATCTTCTATGGAGTATTTCAAGACCGGCCTTCTGCAATTAGCAGTTCCTGAAATAGGTAAAATATTATGTTAACTACAGAAAGAATGTTTCATGATGTTGTTGTTGTATATATAGTAAATTTATTGTCATTACAGTAAGCAGCTTATACAGAGTTTGGTACAAATGTTATATACTGTATATTTTATACAAGGAAATCATTAAAGACAGTAATTATTTAATCTTTCAATATCATTTAATTTCTACAGAAAACTACTTTTCTTTATGAAATTGATAAGCAAGTAACCAGTAAACAGGGGTACTCGATGGGGGCAAGGACTGGGCAAAGATTTAGAAAGGAATTCCAGGTAATCTTAATAACATTATAATACAAAAATAGTATTATAACAATACTTTTCTATTTTGATAAAAATGTTAAAACACTTGAAATATAAAACAGTAGAACGAATATTTTTAAAGAAAATATCCTATTTTGATGGGCACATGTATTTATGAAATTGATGAGAAGAGATTAATTTTGTATTTATTTATGTTCATTATTTTTCAATTGTTTATTTTTCAGACTGTTACACCCTGCCCCACAACTTATCAGACGTCAACAACATTGCCAAGGACATTTAAGCCAGCATTCAAGTCTTTCCACGTAGGAGCTGATAGATTTTATCGACGACAAATAGATCCAGAATTAACTCCTGGGTAAGCGATCAGAATATTTTTCATCCATTTCTAAAGCCTGTACAGACTATAAAATTTTATTGACAAAAACTGGCATATGGCATACCTAATATGGTCATGATGACATCATATCTGATCATGACTATAAGCACATCATGACTACCTGAATATATGGGTATACAACAGTATTTAGTGTCAAAGATGAATTAGACAATATGACAAGTCTTAAAATTTACTTTACAATAAATTTGGGTAATTAATTAATAATTTGTATTTTTCTTTCTTCCTGCAGAGCTGGAACATATGAACATGATGTTTCAAGAAATAGGAAAGTAGCTTATCATGGAACATTTGGAGGACCTCAGCACCTCAAAATTCAGCCCGATGACTCAATCTTATTACCAGAAGACTGTAAAGGAACAACAACAAAAAGTCGCCTCATGTCCTATAAAGATAAAAGAAAGTTTGCAATACGAGAAGCATATTTAAGCTTGTATTACTAGTTATTTTTTTGTAAATGTAAATTATTTTGTGTACATTATATTCTTTAACAATAAGAAGAAATCAATACTTTGGTTAATTGATATGATAAATCTTTGGCTATAACATATGTTACCATAATGATGAATATGCCAAACTGGTTTATTACCTCTATGAATAATAAAGTATCAATTACCATGGATTTATTCATGTTGTACATGTATTTTGTACCACAAGTTTACTTCTAAAAGGCTATATCAGGGGCGGATCCAGAACTTTTCAAACAGGGGGGCACAACATTTTCAGAATAGGTAAATGAGTAGCACATATAACATTGATTTGCATTGAATTTTTAAAAATATATTAGCAAAACGGGGGGGTGGGGGGCGGAAATTGGCCAGAGCAGTGGACTGGGAGACGATCCTCCCCACAAGCAGTGGCAAGGATAGGGGAAGACAAACCCATTTTTATTGTTATTATGAAGCTCTCATAATTGTCCCAGTAAATACAAAGACAGTATCTGTCTGGTTGGTATATCATTTATTCGTGTTCAATAATGTAGGCCCTATCATGTCACAACAATGCTATATCGAGATAGTGTGGCTCTTTCTACTAAACTGTTTATTTGGCATTAACCTTATGCTATCCCACCTACTTGTTCCTCATTCACCAAACGTGCATGAGAAAGCGTAACCAGGCTGAAATACCGTATTTATTCGAATAAATGTACTGCTTTAAATAAACCCCACCCCCTCCGAATAGACCCCTCCTGAGCCTCATTTAGAGTAAACCACTCTCTCGAATAAACGCCCAGTTAA